GCACTGTGCACACACACATTTGGACTTCTATCTTTGTGAGGACACTGAGACAATGCGTCCCCCAGCCCTAACCGGAACCATAAACCAAGTCTGAACCCTCAAACAGCCTTTGAAGCTGTGAGGAGCAGACAGCATGTCCTCACAGTGAAGGTGTCGCACACGAACTGGGCCACACAACCACAGAATGATGTTAATGTCCACACAACCACATGGACTCCTTCAGGACTGAGGTCCTGAGAGACGTCACCACACAGCGCTGTGTGTGCGTCAACTTGAATATGAGCGGCAGTAGTTGTGAAGCTGTTGTACAAAATGAAAAAAATGCTGCACTAAAAACTAGGTAACTCAGTTTGCTGCTTAAGTTTGACAGTTTTAAAATTAAAGTGCAGAATCATGACTTCTGCTTTTTCCCAGCAGAGGTTTTGTAGTCAGTTTTTTTTTGGCTCTGTTTTCCATCAGTGTCTGGACTGATTCATGGGAATCATGTTGTCATCAGCACAGATTTACTGTAGAGGAGATTGTAATTGGATTGTGAGCAGTCCGTTTCCTCTCGGCTCGCGACCATGTGGCACGCTGTGTTTACATTTACACTCAGGATTAAAAGCAGATTAGCATCGGTGAAAATGAATTAGAGAGCGGCACTCTGACAGCTTGTATTACAAATCCAAACAAATGTATTTATGTAGATTCCTCTTGAGCCACTGCTGTTCACTGCAGTGACGTGGCGGCCATCTTGGTACAGGGAAGAGGGGTTTTCTGAGGGACAAGTGTCTGTGCAGGCAGGAGGTCTGTCCAACGGTGAAGCCGTCAGAGCCCGCTGAATTTCCAGCAGATTGATTTGTTACAAATCTGTACTGTAGTTTTTGTAGATGGTGACGGTGATGTTTCCAAGATAAACCTAATCAGTTTGACTATATAAATTATTCTTTTGTGTGTCTGCCTTGTAAAGTGGCTGCTGTAATATGATTTGGATAATAATTTTGACATGTTCTAAATATATTTACATTTGTAGTGAAAAACTTATTTTTTATATTTACATTTTAATTTGAAAATGATAAACAACAATGAAGTTTTTGGACAGTAAAATATATGTTGTAAAATAACCTGCCAGATGTGGATTTTTGTTTGGTTTTGTCATTTCTGTCTTTAAAACAAACAAAAATCTGCCATTTTCAACTGAAATCTCAATATGGCGGCGTCGGACACGTTTATGTATATCTGAGGACGCCAGATTCTTGTTGCGCCACCTGCAGGGCAGCTTAAGACTTGTCGGTTTGTCATTTTATCAGTGACACCAAAATCAGATTTAAAGTCGAAGCTTTTTGATAGACACTCACTGAATATTGTGTTTTTACTTTTGCTTTCCAAACATCTTTTGTTGAACGTTAGGATTGATGTCTCACTTGTGTATAAGGTGGTAACTGTCTCTGCTCTCTCTCTCTCTCTCTCTCTCTCTCTCTCTGGCGGGTGACGGGCTGAGTAACCTCCCTGCCTCCGTCATGGTCGTTAGGCAGACGCTCACATTGTGGCTGAGTGCAGGCTGCTGGGAGAGGCTGGCACACACTCTGAAATATTAATGACCTGCCGTCGAGAAGGCTCAGCCGCCCCCTCGCCATCTCTCCGCTTCCCTCCCAAACCCTGTCTCTTATCTCTCCCTCTGCTGCTGCTTCTCTCTTTCATGTCCATTCTTTTTATTTCTCTCACTTCTTCCTTCTCTCTCACCTCGGCCTCTCCCTCCTTTGTTTCCCTCTCAGGAGCCTGGTGAGATTGTGTTGTCGTATATTAAAGAGACAGACACGCTGCACAGTGGAAAAAAAACGACGACATAAAAATGGTCCGAGGAAGCTTGTGGATTCAGCATCGATTTTGAATCAGTGTGAATCAAATTTTCTGTGATTCAGGAGGAATAGCTCCTTCCTCGTCCTTACCTCCCTTTCTCTGTTTCTGTCTGACATATTTGATAAATCGCTCTGTGTTGTGTCTCTCTCTCCCTCAGCTGGAGTCTGTTTTTGTCCTCTTTCAGTTTGTCATCCCATTCTTTATCCCCTCCACTCTCTGCTTCTGCTTTGCCACGTTGAAGAGAAACTCACCTGCAGAAAGAGATGTGTGGAGACTTGTGGTATAGATCAGGTGATGTGTTTTTATCTGTTCTGCTTGGTTAATAATAGTCAGAAGAAACAGCGTGTGGTTGTAGAGAACAGAGATCCTGCTCGTGGCTCAGATGACAAAGTCAAACTTCATCATCAGACAAGAAAAAAAGCTGTTGTTTGGTTGAAAGCTGAGCAAAGACGGAACCAAAATCAAATTCACAGCACACTCAGTGCTGTTTATACAACATAAATATGTTTCAAATGTAATTTTGTAGATGGAATAGCACTCCCCTCTCAGCTGATTAGTCATCTAATCGTTCAGGAGAGCGAGCTGTTAGTCATTACTGGAAGATGACATCCACCACCAGTGATGTGCACAGACAGGCCAGGGCCTCGGTGTTTCATGAGCTCCTTCATGGTCACATTGATTTGTGGTGGGGTGATAATACTGGAGAACCCATTTAACATTTTTTTGTTAAAATATCTAATTGACTAGCCATCGTTTACCTCGCTGTCCGCCCAGACTGAAGCATATTATCAGCTTGTCTTGTGTGATTCTTTTTTTTAGGAGCTAACCTCCACTCGTGTTCTCTGTCCCTCTCTGTCAGACATGGCTGAAGAACTCCGGCTACCTGCTGCCCCACGACGTCCGCACCTCAGACCTGCGGCAGGAGAAAGCCATGC